ATTTCCGGAGATGCAGAAATCAACTTAATGAGTTGCGCTCTTCCGAGGGAAAGCCAGCGATATTCTCGGCACATTTTCTCAAAGCTTTTACCGCGTAGTGTAGTAGCATTAGTTCCTCGGGACGTAAGGTGTTTCCGCGAGAGAAAGCGCCGCAACCGGCCGCGTCATTTTTATCTCCTACTCGAAAAATAACCGCCCTATTTTACTGTCCGTCCGGTTTACTTTCAAACGAGAGTAAATAAGGGGGATGATACATTCGTGTGCGCGCTACGACGGCATCTCCGAAGGAGAAAATATGACGAGCCCGAAATATCGCTTCTCTTTCTCTCGGGGCACACGCTTATACCTACTCGTATCGCCCGTGTATTCGCCCCTCGTAATTTCAACACCGTCGGAATTTTCGAAGGGACTAACGTAAGCAGTGTGTGAGAACCGCGCTGCTGGCGACACGTTTTTCCATCAGGCGACCGTAATCTCTGACTGAACCCGCGTCGATAATATAAATTCAACAAAACAGCTTTCTCCTTATATGCTGACACACGCACATGCGTGTATCTGTGTTCATGAGGTCAACCTGGGATCTGGAGTTTTCAACGGCTGACGCACGTGTCGTATAATGTCCTCGCGAAAGTGATCCCAAGCTTAGTTACGAAAATGTCCCCGTCTTCCTACTCGTGACGTAAACGAAAAGGTGAAGACAAGATATACGCTTTAAAATCGGAAGTATCTAATAGTTCGAATTTTGCACGCATCGTACGTTAAAAATGTTTATGCACGGAAAAAAAGATTAGCTTCAGTAGTTAAACTAATTGCTGCGTTTGTAACATATGAACATCTAAAGCAACGTTGTGTTAATTGTTGCGGTAGCAAGCTTTTTTTGCTGCAGCAGCAAGAAAGTTTGCTAGTGCAACAGTTAAAATTTCTAATATTGTTAAAATTTAATTGTCCGTATGTTACAATCAATTTAGCTACTGCGGCTAATTTTTTTTCCGTGTACTTTTCTAAGAAACGACAAAAAAGTATTTTAATATATTTACTAATAAAATATTACTAATAAATTATTTCATTCTGCGTATATGTATTTCTATGTTCTTTTTTTCAAAATAAAAGAAGCCCATGAGCCCCGTGAGCACTAATTAAAATAATCAGATTCAAGTAAATCGCCAAATGATTATTTAGTGAGCGGTACAACATACATAGCGCGCTTTATGCACACATCATTGCATATTTGTAATTATTAATACTGGAGACCGATAGAAATTGTAATTAACTACTTGTTCATTAACGATCATTTTCCAACTTGACACAAAGCGCGCCTAAATTGTGCCAACAAAGCTCGGCTGTTGCCTTTGATACGTACGAAAACGTCAGTGCCAGTTTTACTGCGAATATTCCTGTCTAAGCGCGTTTATCGCCGATATAATTTCAGAAACAAGCTATATGCGGACGCAGATCGATAGGGCGTTCGCAAAGATCCACTCGGGGAAATATTTGGACATATAATAATTGAGAGTTATAGCCGCAATTCGAACGTTTCCAATCCCGCGAACGAAAACTGCGTATATTTTCATTTATCCCGTTCCGTCGCGATAAATTATTTGCTCGGTATAAAATCGACTACACTAACGTTGCCGGATGCGCATGCATTCGGCGGTCAAATTTTCCCAGAATATTTTATTTAAGAAACTGTATCATTTGCTTCGCTCAACTAACAGCACGGTACGACTGCTTATCTGATAAAAAAAGAGATCTCTTGCGGATACTGATGAACCGAGCAGTATTAATGCACTCGGATTGTACACACGTGTGTATCATTCCCCAAGAGTGCCATCCGCCCAGGCACTTCGCAAACCACTTCGCAAATAAAACGTTTCCTGTCTTTCGTTCTTTATCCTATACAGAATACTGTAAGAGTAGAGTTAGGGGCTCTAGGGAAATACAAGATTCTGGAAAAGAGACAGTAATTGTCCAATCGACGCAAGTCGAAGAATCGACCCTGTCAGAATTAAAAATGATTCTTAGTTTTGCCGTGCTAGAAGAACAGAATTATTTAGAGCAAAAGCTGCTTCTTTCTTTGCTTGCTTCTGCCTGCAAGCAGAAAGCAAGCCGTACTGTCGGAACCGAAAAACGACTTTAACTCCGAAAAGCTCCGTTTTTTCTGTCTACGTTGACAGATTACTATCTTTGCGAACATTATACAAGGTGTCTCAACATAAGAAGAACGCCTAAATATTTCCTTTGTTTTTAACGACATGAGAATTATGTTCAGAATACAATTTGAATGGTTTCGTAGGACGAATAAAAGAACACTTTTTTACGGTCATTTTTTTCGGTTATTTTTGAAGTCCCCATATTTAAGCTCCCCATATTTAGATGATTTCTTTATGCTGGAATACCTAATATATACTCCTTAAATCATTGACCGTTCTTTCCAGGTCACCCTCGGTGCGAAAAACAACTCCCTATCTTCCCTAAAGAATGCCGGGAGTATCGAGAAATGCAACTCGCTCGTACCAAAGATGAAATATTTTGCTACTTTAACTTCATTACGCAAGTTTTAATCCATTCGCCGATGCAGTCGAGGTTACGCCCAACCTACCACCAGTATTTGCGCATGATACAAGGTCGACGGAAGTTACCGTCATAAAGTCGCCCTCGATTCCTTATTGCAACCTCTGTGGGGGATATACGGGGCTTTGCCGCGCGCACGGAAATTTATGTGCGCCTCTACGCATGCATGCGTCTTGTTTATTCATTAGGTTTTCTGTCAAACACAAATATCGGAGATCCCGCCAGTGCCAAGTACAATAATTTGTTGACTTGATAATAATTCCACCTGCAAGCTCGCGAACATGACGTCTAATACCGTTCGCGTCTTGCGGCAAACATGTATATATATTTCGTGTCTCTCTTTCCTCGCTCTCAGATTACGAGAGGATTGCGTTAGCGCAATCCGGAATCTCGCCTTGACACCGGGCTCGTACGAATAAATTTTCGGTTCGCCGCGCGAATTGCCGCGCGAACGTTTATACCACGCTTCACGCATCAATGATTAATTTGTATGCATAATTTAAAACGATACCGGCGCCTTTTGTGCCGACCGCTCGCGCACGTGTTGCGCGAATTTCACGTCCCACAAACGGTTTTTCGAATCGTTTACGGTCAGAGATTGGTTTGATTAAACGAATACACACCAAAAGAGTAGCAGTATGTATGTGTATATATTTGTGTGTATGTATATCTGTATTGTATACACGCGATAATTTCCAGAACGAATAATAACGGAAACAGTACTGAAACAATAATGAGCGTCTACACGGGCTAAGAAAAATATGCAAACAGTCTGGAAAAGTAAATATATAATCGCGCCTGAAACCTAGCAGCACGGTAGCCCGTCACGTTAACAATTATAGGTGGAATCGTTATAAATCATGCAGCACGATAACTGGTCAGTGTTAATTAAGGAAAACGAGAATAAAACCTTCATTGATTTATACACGTCGCAAAATGTATAAAATCAATTTTGCTTTGTGTTCGAGTGAAAATAAAGAAACAGCAAAATTAATTTATCGGGAGTGCATAAAGAGTAAGGTAAAATTGGATCCCTATTGAATCCTTAACACCTCGATGGTGTCACGAATTCGTGGAGAATTTATTTGTTAACAACAGAATTTAAAACAATATAATTTAATTACCGTGATTATTGCGCGAACGCGCATAATATGATCGAAAGAATTCTCGTCCAATAAATGTGAACAGTAAAATATCATTCCTCGACGTTTAACCAAGCTTTTAACGCAGATCTGATTAAAATATGCGAGTCGAGAGTTTAAGTGCAATTTTTAAATGCGAACAATAGGAACAATGGGCCTTCTTGCACGTATTCATTCGACGCTGTCTGTTTAATGGAACGCGCATCTTTCCGCTCGCAAAGAGCTATTGCTCGAGTGATAATTCTCGAAAAAAATAAAGAGCAAAGAAAAACGTGTACGATGCATAACGCGGCGAACGCAACATCATGGTTCCCATTTTCACCGCAGAAATATGACGAATCGATAGGATTTTACAGTCGTGAGATATGAAACAGTGGCCTTAAAGAAGTAACCGCGCGCAAACAAGCCGCGCCATAAAGATCGTCGTCGGTGCTTCGATATACTTCGTATGTACAGTCAGTACATACAGGACGGTTGCAATGGTTTTTTCTTATATACTTCAGAACACACAAAAAATACGACAAAGCGAACCTATGATTCACGAACATGCGCAATAGATGGTCAGATCAAAAAATTAGATACGTATATGTCAAAATTATATGTGTATATGTAATTTTGACAGCTATCTATTGCTCGTGTTCGTAAATTATAGATTCGCTTCGTCGTATTTTTTATGTGTTCTAAAACATGTGAAAAAAACTATTGCAAATTGTGTTCGACTGTACGGTAAGAAAGAATCCCCGTGTTTTTAATTCCAATTAGAAATATTCACGCTAATGCTCACTCACGTGTTAAAATCGACTTATTAAACATTTTCACGTAATTAATTCTTCACGATTTTATCCCTTTCGATAAGATGAAATTCGCCCAAACGTGTGACGATTAAGGCGGTCGTGACTGAAAAACGTTGGACAAGCGACGACGTGATGATTATAAAAATCTCGAGAGAAACGAGTCGCTCAAATGCGCGAGAATCGTATTACGCGGATAACTTTTCTTATCAGCGGCTGGGAAAGAGCGACAAGACGCGATATTCTGCGTATTAAGAAACCTCACTTCCCGATTCAATTTCGCTTTTCTCTTCCGGTAATGTAATACGTTGTCAATACAGGCTCTGATCGTGTTCGCGGCTACAAGAGACTCACCCCCGTAGGCGTTGGGATATTATAGATACTCGCGCAGGCGTCGTCGGCGCGGACTTTTTGCCGCGGCGCGGAGATAACTCCAGGAGGGAATTCCGCGAGACCAAGAGAGGGTGAACGAGCGGCAGTCAGCGCCGAGCCACCCTCGCGTGATCTCGCGCGTTCCACTCCCATCGGTCGCGGCAGGAGTCCGCGACGAGCGCGATCTCGCGGGATGATGCCTGCGCGCGATGTAAGAGGGAAAGTGCGCCCGTAAGGAAGTTAGCTGAAATTCGCCCGACATCGAAACGCGCAACGGAAGCACGGAGCATTTCCGAATTCCGCGAGAGAATCCATGTGCTCACAGCATGGCTATCATGCAGTCCTGTTGCTGTTGGCAATCTGTACGCAGAGGCAGTTTCGCATGTGCAATTTACACCGGAGTGAGTATCGCGGAGGACTTAATGGCGATTTCGTTTATGCGAACCGTTGAGAGTGGCCTAAATCACGACTAAGACCGAACGAAGAAACTGAATTCTCCATATACATCGCTTAACGCGCGAATTTAGCTCAACGGCACATAAATTCGAATTTTCTTATTTATACTTTTGATTTTTATATATATAATGGTTTATTCGCCTATTTATTTTGACATGGAACGAAATTTGTTTTAACTTTTAAGAATTTTTAAACGTTTTATGTACCGTATCGGTTTTTACGCGTATTTAGCTTCAAGCGTGAACTTTTAGATCTGAAAATTTTAGACTTTACGCATAAACAAAGGTCAGCAACAATAGTAAACAATTGTCATAAAGAGCAAATGATTACAATAGATACGATAAAAGCTTCCTATGTTCTAATGTGGAAAAATAACAATTCACGTTACTATTTACCTAATAGTTTATGCGTGTTTGATAAGTAGCCGGTGATAGATACGTGTACGCTTAATGCTCAACTCCACTACTTTTAGGAGCTGTCGCGCAGGATAGTAATATGAGCCAATATCGAATCGTACGCTTTAGGAAGCGTAATGTTTGATCAAACTGTGACATACCAAATAATTTTCAAAATTCTCACAACTAAATAAAAATATATAAACTATATGAGAATATACAAAAGATCCGAGAATCTTGTAGTTGGAAATATATCCAACTATGTCTTCAAATATATCGTTGTGCAAATATGTGCGCGTTTCGTAACAATTACATAACAGAAATTATGTAAATTCTTTATTAGTATGTAACATTCGCGTAATGTAAACGTCAAACCATCAAAACCGGGTCAAATTTAGTAACGTTGTTAATCCAACGCAGTGAAAAGCGCTTGTAAGAAATAACGAAATTGACTGATAGCTCTCATGTGGTTGATAGGGAGCGATGGTTCGTTCAACGATACGCTTTAACAACGTATACTGTTATACTTTATACGATGAAACTAAATATCACACGCATGAATGTTGTTTCAGGACTTACCTTGTGCGTGACAAACATTTTTAAACATATGCTTGGCGTAGATATTTTCGTCAAGGATGAAAGAAAGTATTTGAAAAGATATCATAAGAATATTTGGCATGTTTCTTAATGTTTATTTCGAATTTGGACGCTCTCTTAAATTTTTGCTTTGTTCGGACTCTAACATTATAGAAACAGAATTATATCTTGTTTGCAAAAATATATTTGTACAGATTTGAAATATATTTGTATTTTTCACACTTCTTTATCTTTATAAAAATTCTTCCCAAAGTACGAAATCTATATTCACATCGACAAAGTAATAAATATAGTATTGATGTGTCTGAAAAACACATGTATGTATGTTACATCAACTCTCACGACATATATTCGCGCTTCATTCGTATAAAATGAAACAGAGCGTCATGCAAATGCACAAAAGTAATTTATGACGCAATTAAATCGATCCGATGATGTATAATGGGTCAAAGGATGAAACGATGGATTCACGGTGGCTGAGAAGTTCGCTTATTCCATATTCTTTTTACGGAATATTACCGAGATACGGAAGAAAGAGATTATACAATATGTTCTTCCTGAACTTATTAATACGAACATATATAAATGCTAATGTAATGCATAAATATAAAAATATATTTTAATCGTGAATTTCTTAACGATATTTTTTCATTTTCCGCGTAAATCGATTCCGAAAGGGTTGAAATGGGCGAATGTTGCAAATTTTATGCAGACACATCGCGAACGCAGCATGTAATGCTGCGAATATTTTATCACTATTGCAATCGACGGTTTATTAATAATAGAACATTTCATCACAGATGCCACACACTTCAGTTGCATCATTGAACCAGCTAACAACTATTGATCAGCCTGTTCTCCCGGGAACGTATCAATTCGGACGAAATATGTATATTTGTGTGAACCGCGTGATGTTATATCCATACGCACACGCGCTGTTCGCATACGCGCGCGTACTCCCCCGCAGAAGCCACTGTTTTACATGACAAATTTTTTTCCGCTATATTTCCGCGGAAACAGTTGTAATGGCCGCAAAAAAAAAAAAAGAACGGAAACCGATGTATGTTTGCGATATCGGCGAAAGCTTTCGACTGCGAACAAGGACTACAACATGGCGTTTGACCCGGAGACAATTTCGTTTTTCGAGTTTGGTCTACGGCGATGCTTATTGATTTTCTCCTCTTAATGAACAGAACGCATTTAGCTCTTAAAAAGTACTGAAGAATATGCGTTACACGTATTTCCATATTATTAATTATATTAGTAAGTTTACAAGATGATTTTACGAAAGCCGTTCTAGCTTCAGAATAACGAAAATCACGGGAGTGTCCATTTTTCGATGAAAACTTCGCGCGCGCTCGCGCACGCATACACACACACACACGACATAGATATAAAAATATATTGAATTACGAATTTACATTGCAATTTCCGACAAAATAAATGCTGTGTATTTTCGTCGGCCGGCGCAAAAATATCTGCTACGTGTTTTTCGTTACCGCGCGCGCGTGTGTGTGTGTGTGTGTGTGTGTACTATCGTTATGGCACATATACGTAACGCGGGATCAAAACGCACACGTAAAAATGTTGCCCTTTCACGGATTATTGTGAAGAGTGTAAAGATTATAGAGCGAAACAGCATAGCGGAAGAGCACAGGATTCGCGCGAGGAAGAGCAAGCGGAACGAATTTCATCAAATTGTTATCCAACCGATTTGCGTAATTCGTAGCGAATCTTGGAAATTAATGATATTCGCGAAACATCCTCAGCGCGTAAAAGTTGCGCGAAAGTTACATTGTGAGTTTCCACGGAGGTTACCTGGGAGAAGGAAATTAAGCGTGTCGGATAACCTTTGTCTTATAATTGCTGAAGTTAAACGAAACGTAATCTAATCGTTGTCGTTAACCTTCCACCAATCCCCTGATTATCTTCCAGCCGAAGAAATAGCGCTCCTTTAACCGTCGCGCGTACTTTAATTCGCGATGACACACACCCAGGACTTGATATGCTCGCGAGAAAATCTTATTTTACCGCGGATATTAACGTTATCATCATCGCGCAGTTATCGTTAAACGTGTGGATATCAAGACTGCGGATATTTACGAAAAGAAAGAGAAAGGAAAAGTGGAGAAGAAGAAAGAGCAAAGTGGGCGCCCGTTAGTCGACTCCATTAATTGTTTCATTAGGTCCCGAGGTACAAATTACAAAAGCCTGACCTCATTACACACTCTGTAATGGCAGGCGGCATCAAGCTCACGACACGCCAGGCTCAAACCGATATCTGATCGTGTCACTAACTACCTGCGATAATTGGCTGACTCTAAAGGACCAAATTATCCGACACGTGCGTCCTAAATCTGCTTCCGAGCTTCGATTTGCTTTCTCCTCGGGTGTGTTTGTCAGCAACAATTTATATTCTCTTACTATTCGAAAATTAATTATCGACCAGAGCTGGTAGATGTTGGTGTACTAATGATCATACTTGCAACAGCGTTTTCGTTAAAAAAAAAATAAAGAAAATTTACTTTCTCGAGACGCAACTCGATGCGGCGAATAAATACCGAGCGCCTCCCGATTGATATCTATGCAAGCCGCCATCGTATGAACCGCTTTTATCGCCATTTAAAATTTAAAAGCCCGCTCGGACTGCGCCGCTCTTGATAGATTTATAGAACGAGATTCTAGTGACCATAAATACGGTCCTAAAACGGAAGGTTGCGCCGCACAATATTCCCAGTCAGCGAATTCAAAGGGGATCAGAGACGCGACGGGAGCTGTGAGACACGTTTTTGCCTTTTTCCTCCCTTTACCGGTCTCCAGTGTATAGTTTTAAAGGTAACAGCCTTCAAGTCCTTTTAATTTCGCTATACACTATGTTAAAAAAAAGAAAAAAGGAAAACATCCGAGATCCGAGACCCCGCGGCATCTAACCCGAAGCAATAACGGGGAAATTTGATTTACGACTTCATCTGCATGAGATGATTAATAACGTGCATATCACGTTGATTTCACCTCATTTGTCGTTTAAAAATAACGTCTTTCCGGAGAAATGTTTGAAACACGAGTAGCGTTTAATTCGACATATAATTCGTCGCGACAAGTATTTGCGTAAAATCCCGCGAATATGTATACGTATGAATTTCAGATTTATTCATAATTGTGTACAATGATTGCATTGTGTAACAGCTTAAAATAATGTTATTTCAGAGAAACGCTTGAGAGAAGCGAGAAACGTTCAGTTAATATAATTTTCTACATTAATTATTTTCCGTAAAATATTACGAGAAACTGTTAATATGTCTGCACGCGCGTGTAAAAATCGGGAATTTATTTATAACTCTCAAATCGACCGCTGGCTGATTAACAAATACAGCCATTGTTATACACTGTTAATCATCATGTATCGTCAAAAGTTGGAGGTACACTTTGCAATAAAAACCTTACGTAATTACAAGCGGGAAACCTTGTATCTCCTAAACCAGTTCGGAATTATTTATGTAAATGAGGCGACTTTTGAGAATTACAATTCTTTACTTTCCCTTGTCGTTCCAGCTCTCTCAGCGGTTCATACAACTGACAGTCGCGATGATAAGCCTCAAAACCGTTGACATTACGCGAAATTTATGAAGTGCTTCCCAATATCTGACAAGTTTTTATCGAAAAACAACTCTTTTACTTATAATTAATTTATTATAATTTTAATAACGTATAAATGTATATGCCAACGTATGAAAATATTTGTAAAAGAGTTGTTTCGAAATGAACTTTCAGATATTAAGAAATGCCTCTCAGATTTCGTAATGTAAATGTAATATTTGTTGTAATGTAATATAATGTCCTGAAGGAATCATACCAGCGATTGCCAATTGAATTGCGATTGACGATTGTAAAATAGAGCATTTTCTATATGGCTATCACTATTCTCAATCGGTGGCTGCGTTGATCTGATTGATTGAAAAATAATCGTCAGTCGTCAATTGCAATAGCAATTCAATCGGCAATTACTAGTGTAGTTTGGCCTTGAGGCTGAGCGCCGCGACTGTCAATTGCATGGCCAGCAAGGCGAGCCAAAGAGACAAAGGGAAGTAAGGAGGCGTAGCTCTCGAAAATCGTCTCGTTCATACAAATAATTCCGAGCACTGTCCTAGACAAAAATACCGTGAGTTCATAAAGACGGTAGCTCCAATCAAATCACTATATTTATTACTATATTTACTTTGTGTCTCGTATCTCGTACTAATATACCGGGAAAAATACCGACTATCAGTGAGTAACTCGAATTATTTTCATTTAGAAATTAGTACTTCGAATTTGGAGGTACTACGTGATACATGGTTAACAGTGTGCACAAGCGGGTACGTCTTGTAATCGAGATATACTCGAGATCTTTCAAATTAAAGGAAAAGTGATAGAAAAATAATAGAAAGAAAAAAATAGAAAAGACCAGAACTGGGGCAAGGTAATTGTTCTCGCTGTGGTGCTTCTCCGATTTTAATTAAAAGGATCTTTCTTTGCTGGTTTAGATCGGAAATTTCGATCAATTTAAATAGTCGAGGTAAGACGGAAATATCATGCGACAATCGCAAACTTCCATCGCCCTTTGCGTAAATTAATATAAAATATATAATATTCTCCACACGGATATGATTATGTGTGCGAGTAGTTTCGATCGATCGTTTGATAAAGTTTCCCTCGCCGCTGTCACGGCGATCTCTCAATTTTCTTTTTCAGTTTATTTTGTAAATAAATCTCAATTGTATCAGCACGTATATATAAGCGTTCACCACGGAGAAGAAGCTCAACGCCACGGTTTCGCTACGATAAATTATTTCTCTTAGTCACGATTCCTCTTATTTTCGGAACGATGCTAGGCTACAATTCGCTTTAAAAATAGCACAATACTCGAACCTCAATATTCATAGCACTGTCGCGCGTAAGATCGTAAACAATACAAAAACACAACGGCGTACCAGAATTGATACGCCGACGCGACACACGTGGTAACGAAAATATAAACGTTCCTTTATATTGTGCAACATTGCGATGTCGTGTAACGTAACGACAATATGTATATTACTTTTCATTTAATTTAAAACCCCAAAAGTGATACGTGACGCTATACGCCCCCTCGTGCACAACTCGTTGTAGTATTAATTAATACCACGTCATATATAAGTGCTCTCGAGCTTGACTCGCGGGTGCTTCTCTATCCGCGAATAAACAACCTGAGCCAACTCTGATCGGACACCCCGGGGAAATTTAGCCGCTTAATACAGTCCGATGACCATCGTTTAATCCTTTCAGCCTTAAATTATTCCAAGCCTCGACGAAAAGTTCTAGCCAAGCTAGTTTTTGAATTTGACACATATTCAAAATAATACGTTTACTGCTCGAAACGACTAGGGTATCACCGATTTGATTAATTAATTCTATCGTAAATAGTTCTATACTTGAATGTGAAAAATCCATATATGTGAAAACAATAGCTAATTAAACAATAGCTAAAATTCAAGTATATCTCCTGAAAATTAAAATAGTGATATAAAGGAGACGTATACGTAAAATATTATACGTACTAAGTACAGATATATGGATATATATTTGTTATGAATATTTACTTATTTTTTTGCGGGATAATAGAATGATATATAAGGATACAGTACACATAAAATGCCTTAAGAAATAACATGAACGCAAAAACATGAAAGATATTATACATAATCACTCTGAACATCATTTAAAATATTTAAAAAAAAACGATACCACAATTGTTTCGAGCATCGTGTATATCGAAATATGATGCAATTTTTTTATTTGTAATAGCACGCATAGTGATTTCAACCCTAGAGCAGTCGCGTGGGCGACATGTGTCAACCAATCTTTTTTAATATCTCTCTCTCTCTCTCTCTCTTGATAAAACTCGCGATTTTAAACGATCTTCCACAACCTAACATTGTAATATTCACTCAACGAACGGCACGAATAAAAAATATATATAATAAACAAAATAGAATATATTCGAAATTTATCGATAAAAAATTTAACAAATATTTCGACTGAAACACAACTTACATTGTACGACAGCGCGTTTGTATTTATCTTTGAAACGCACGACCTCGAGGATTAATGAGATTTCGAAAGACAAATCATCACTTTACAGTTTTTGCTCTCATTTCTCACTCACCACAACAATGGAAGTCAGGATTGGCCATACTCGGCTACCGCTGAATCTAAAACATAAAGACGACCATTCTGGATTAATTTAAAGTTAGATGTATCAACAAGTGTATATAGACACGATCCGATTAATCCTTCGCTGTCGCAATTCGAGTTATTACGACAGTTAACTGTAACACGAATTTCGATCGTAAAGATTTAATAGGTATATCGAGAGTCTATGAACTCACCGTCGAGCCAACCCTGCTTGGCCCGAACTGGCTCTTCTAGGACAGGCATCCTCTGGAAACTGCAGTAGTATGTCATCGTTGGTCGTCGTTGATCACACAAGCAAGAGAGATCTGAAACAAAAAGTTAACGTTGATTAGTTACGAGCGCTAAAGAGATCGCACTCGATCCCAACAAATTAGAAAGATGAAAAGGTTAGAATGTGATACATACCCTTTAAAAATTTTACGATGCTCCAGTTGCTCACACTGTAATCACCGACACACGCGACCACGAGAATATAATAAATATCGTATATTACACACGAATGCCGATTGTCACACACGCGGGGACAACGATAACATTTCGCGAGATTTACGTGAAAACAACAGACGGCGCATCGATGAACAACACGTTCGACGCTTCGCGAAAGAATGCGGCGAGCGCGAATATGTGAGGAGCTGCGTGCTTTGTTGACATGTCGCTACGTTGAAAGACGCACGAAGGTCGCGTGGCTTCGGCGAGCTGCCGAATTATATCGAGCGTACACATAGGGTGTCTTCACGCAATCATTCACCGTGCATCATTTATTGTAATATTCAATTATCGAGTACGCGAATTTCTCGATATCAATTATGGCATAACATTTGTGTTATATGAATAGTCGACGATTAACGTACCTTATGCGTCCATGTTTATAGCTTCGTTAGGTTAGAAAAAAGTTTCGAAACGATTAGCGGAGTTTACTGACGCCGTCGGAGCAACTCATTCGTAATAATCATGCGCATCAAGTAGAAAAGATCAACTGAATAGAAATACTATAGAGTTTTGACGAATTCAGCTTCCATTCCGCAACAAAGAGATTAATATATCAGCCGTTGTGATCTCCGATATGCTCGCTCGTCCACGTCCGCCTTGAACTGAACATAGTCGCGAACATGGCGCGCGATAAATATATCGAATTTGATCGCAATATTCGATCGCGTTTTTCTACAAAATTTCCGAAAAGAACAATTTCTAATCTTTTTGGATCTCAACATTCGTTAGACATTTATAGCGCCGAATATGTGGTTGAATATCGCAAATTCTAAACTCGTAATTTCTTAAACTTTCCAAATTAACAGTGATGATGCAAAATATTTAAAAATAACACTCCTAATTGAAAATTATCATTGTTGCTAAACTTGGGGAATGGAGCAGCATTAATGGAGCAACATTAATATCTACACGTTTAAACAGGCACTAAGTGAGAGAGAAGATCGTACATTTGTATATTGAATGTTGTATATTTGTTCAATATATCAATATTTGTTTAATATCGACGCCGACGCAGGATTGGATAGCACGGACAAGATCTCCCCTGCTGGCGCCGCCTGAATTAAACTAACTCGGATTATTTCAACGGCGTATTTTTGCGTGTCATTTCGCCCGCAAATTGGTAGTAGGATTGCCCCGAGTGCTAGCGCAAAATCGAATTATTCTCTAGATAATGAACCGCCGTCACCTGTCAGCTGTTTCTGCTTCCCGTTTGCGCAATCGATACCACGATATACCTATAAGCTGAAAAACGAGATCAGGACATCCGCGCGCATTTCTACGCGCGACCGATAGGCGAGATTTAATGACGATTCAGTGCGAAGACATGCCAATTGTTAAAATGCGCAACTCCCATAAGTACATACGTGAGTGTACGTCGAATGTTCCGTTTGAACAACCGGAGCTCAAATCACATCTCCCGTCGAAAATTGGATATATAAAGGGTCGATTCATTTACTAAAGTTTTAATTAAAATTTTCACTGCGGGTTACATTACGCGTTTTAATTGGCTTTATCCGGATCACGTTAATTACTACGTGGGATAATGTGAAATTTTGCGAAAACTGAGAATGTTCTTGTTCGGTTCCAGATGTATTTCGTGCTGCTGGCTTTGACTACCGGTACAGTTCTGCTGGAGGAGAGCCAGTACTTGACGGGAAATCGTTCTCTGCCGGTATCGTCCAGCGTGTTGGAGCCGGGGACCATATCACCGAGTAAGTGCAAACGTCGTCGATTACATAATCGGGTGTGTAGCGCGTTATGAAGTTCAATAGCGAATCCTATAGCGAGCCTCGACGCGGGGATATTTAATTTCTTCGCTATAACGGGAGAAATATATCTCTCTTAGTATATCACGCATGGAATTGTGCACGAAACCACTCGTGCCCAAGTAGTAGTCGGCTTCGCTTAAAACGACATCTGCTTGTATTGCTTCAGCGACGGTTCGGTTCAACGCAATGCTGCTTGTCTGCTCCTGCTGCGGCGTACTGTGCAGCCTCCTTCTTTTGTACGGCTTATTCAAGGTAGGGCCCAATTTCGGAGCAATCGATAGAGCATTTTAATAGCATTGTTTCACGCCGTCCGTGAGATTCAACAAGTAGACCGTGTAGGAAAGTTAAGTTGGAAATGCTGTAGAATCTCGACGAACCGCTTCTGTCCTACGATAAGCGGATTAGATGCTATCATTTGTGTCAGGTAGAAAAATAACGGTGAAATCCCCATCTTGTTATTTTACAAAAATGCTCTTTCCTTTCCTCGTGGCAGTCTTATCAATATTTTCGTGTCTGTGTATTAAATTTTCCCAAATATATAAATTTCACTTTTATTGCTTATACATCGAGAATCGTTCGTCTTCCTCAAAACATGGATTCTCGTTGGCGTTTTTGCGTTTATTATATTTGCTACTGAACTGAACTCCGTGAAAATGCGGTAGAAGATACTTTCACTTCCACTTGGAACATGATGAAACAGCACTATCGCTGTTCCCGAATGGATCGTATGAAAAGCTACAGATCTGACGCAAACGCGTTGTTCCCAGGAGGTACGTACCATTAAACGCAACGTAGAATGGACATTTGAATAAACAATTCATGTACAATACTGTTAATAAATTTCTCAACACCGCGTACCGTTGTCAGAGAGATCAATTTTTTATTCATGCCTTCCGCCCCATATTATGTCACATACATTCGAGTGTAATTGCAGATCAAGTTTTAAAATAAAAATATGAAAAAGACGCTCGCACGATTTTCACCTATTGCCAAAACTGTGCAATACGATTGTATAACAGGCCGTATCACGTATCGATTCTTTATTTTGGTCTCCCAATTTCTTTCGATTTTATTTACTCCTAAATATTTCATACAAGGTTTTATATATTCTTCCCGTCTGTGCGATATCGACGAGTTCTTTCCTTATTGACGGACGGGGTTTTTCCAAGTCGTACATATACTAGCCATCGATGACGAATAATATAATCTTTCTGGCGTGCGTGATATTATTACTAGTGATAAAAATCATAAACTCATGTGGGCGAACGAACGAATGCACGTTAAGAATTTCATTATTCTGAGTAACTCGAGCTTGACTGTGATGAATACCGTTAATAAAACAAACCGTAATATCTCCGCGCGACAGGCACCATAACCTGTATATTCATGAGTGTTAACAACGATAGACGGATAATAACGAGCTTTCGAGGCAGCTTTCCGCGAGAACCGCGACAGTGACGCATGAAAAAAAAACCAATTTGAAAAAATCGACAAAGACAATATACCTGCCTCATTTCGTTGCGGAAATTTCACTGAAATTTTACCGCATTTCCCTTCGTTGTATTATTTCGAAATTCGCGAATCACAGATTATGAGGGAATACGTAATGCAATTAAAATTCTCGGAATTCTCAAAACGTTGTATTTGATATGAGACAGAAACGTACGATAGAAATTTCACACGCACGCATTTCGCGAGTACCGCTCATTCCCGCATAAATAATTGTTTTCAGGATCATAAAATGTTGCTGATTCCATGGATCATTGCGGTGATCACGTGCACCTTCGTCGACGTAGCGCATATTCTGTATCTGTTTTTAGTCACCGTGAGTATTTTGTAGAACGTTCTTTTGAATGCGTTTTTATACAGTAATCGTCGCAAATAACTTTATAATAACTCAATAATGATTAATTTACTTATCGTCAGACCGAATGATAACGCTGATATTTTAAACAAACTGCGACATCTCATTCAGCTGGTCGACTTTTTATATAAAACCGATTCCAAGCAAAGTCATAGAAATAAAAAATAAGTTAGAGCAAATAATAAAAAATTTTGACGACGTAAATTTCAAGACATAAAATGAAAACATTGGAGGAGGTTATTTTTTTTTAATTACATCCTTCTTTATATAATTTCTCACATATAATTTTTTAGAAACCAATATTTACTGTTTATTATATAGAGAATTTATATTGGACTCATAATTAATATAATGTGCAGCATAATATAAATTTACGTAAAATAGCAAATTTCTTTGACAGTTTTACGTAACATGACGTTATATTGAAATTTTCCACGGTATTATGTAAAACGTATTTTCCCGTTTGTCGTCTTTAGTTTTTTCTTTCATTTTTGTAATGCTCGAAAGTTATGAATAACGATCGCTTGAAAAGCTCGTAACTATTTTAGGAAGCAGCGTCACGCCGCACGAGAGATATCAAAATTAAAGTTAACGGTCTTGCAGAATAAGCTGTGGAAAGTCTGAAAATGCATTTAACGAAACATAATGTAAAATATATTTGCGTCTCTCTTCACAAAGCATTGTCAAACTTTCCGAATGCGTTTGCGCATATAGAATTAGGTATAACACAGCTAACTGCTACGGAATTGGTTTGTTATAGCTCAACTTCAACCCGACGACGGTTATGCTGTACACGCTAAATTTCTTCCTTCTCTGCTTGAACGTAAGTGTTCTCAGACTAAGTTTAATTGCGCGTTCGTCACGGTTATAATCACAGAGAGACCGTCGGAAACCATCAAAATTTGTCAGATATCCACAGTCCCTTACATAAGAACGTTTATATAACAGGATAATTCTATCTCACAGATGATAATGTTAATATAAAAAACTTCTTCAGTCGTAAAATAACTTTGAAGTGAACGCTAAGTAAAAAATGGAAAAAGACGAAATGTTATTAATTAATTGTTAACAATATTCATTACTAATTAATTGAATGATATTGATTATTGTACTCGGCTATTAATCAATTAATATACTTACCGAGCGTCGTTTACGATTTATTTATTTTTGCAGAATTATTACATCGCATAACATAGATAATCATGTCTTACAGATATATTCGCTGTTGTGTGTCATTTCGCAGTACCAAGAATATCTAGCTGGTCGCGGCACCGCCGCGCATGACTACGAATATAGGGTCAGTATTCTGAAAAATTCACGAGGAGAGAAACGGAGGAGAAATGGGACGAAGAGTTAAGTGAATTACTCGATCGTATACGCAACTCTACTTGCGAAAAGCTTATCTAACAAAATGTAAATATCGTACATGAGCGTATCAAAGATGTAGCCCGCCGATATATAGAGGACGGCTGTACAGACGATTCGCGATGCTATCGTATAATGCGTATATGGCATTTCTCTCTGGCAATGCTAGTAGTAATAGCAGTAGTAAACACACAGTGGAAAGCAATTCGATAGATATCACGAAGCCAACGATAGAAACGGGAAAAGTGGTAGCGCTGAATTAACGGCCAATCCACCGGATAAGCACGATTCTCCGCACGCTTCCTGAAAGCTAACGAAGTAATGAAGTAAGGGAATATCCGTAGCAACGTCCATTACCTCGTAATCAATATCTCAAAGAAATTGATTGTACGTCAGATCCTGTAGTATATCTTTTATGTTTTCCCTTATGTTGTATATGTTCCTTTATGTTTCCTTTTTCTGTATGTCAGACGCCGCGTGGAACTTTCCCTCGTGCAAATCGCATCACCTGTTCGAACAATGTAAAGACTCCCTCGGACAGATTCGAGGTCAATCTCAGAAAAACGGACGAGCAAGGGCCTGAGATGATGTTTCCTCGCGATGATTCCGACAGTAATCTCTCGCGAGAGACCGATGTAATGTTTTAATCGACGAACATCTGTTAAATTTCGCGAGCGCGTTACCGCGAAATTTGTTCGGTTTGCATTAAGCATGTCTCGTACGGTACGCTTTGAAGGTTCCAGTGGTGAGATACGTGACTCAGCCTCCGACTACGACCGCTACGTCATGTCTAAGTTCGCGAAGAGGAGCGACCAACAACGAGACAAAGGCCACGCCGACTCAAAGTCCCACAGCGTGCCACAATCCGCTCTTATCTGAGAGAAGTCCCACCGGGAGCCGGGTATCGAGGAAACACGTGCAGTTCCCGGATACAACGGCGCCGAGCCAGATACAGAGGCCAGGTAATCACACGTGCACGTTGGTATACTTTTGCGGAGCTACACTGATAGAAAATTATAGTTATTTTCAATGTCGACTATACCTACTTTTTTATTTTAACCGTAAAAATAGTTAGGAGAAGTCTTTCTAGTAAACGTTATTACAGTGGTGATAACGTCACACACATGTTACTATTACTACAAAATATGATTGATACCGAAAGTAACTATAATTTCCTATCAGTGTACGAGGGAGAGTGAAAGAGAAAAAGTTCAAAATCGATCCTCAAATCCGGCGATGCGAGAGGTACAAAAGAAGAAATTTCTCGTCGGAGACGCGCGTCTCACGGATCCGCGTGTTTTAGAAGCTCGATACCAATCTCCGTTGTCACGGCTCTTCTCGCCTGTCAATAAAAACCCGCGATTGTCACGACGTTTCGTCGTTCCGTGCCGCTTCTCGCCTCCCTCGAAAAATCGTCGCGAATACATGCGCGGCGGATATTTCGCGGTAAAAACGTCGCGCCACCGAAATGAATTCGACGCAGCTTGAAATATACAGCTGTAGGGAGAATTGAAATTAAATACTTTCATCTTCTCTGATTACTCGCGTGCTTTCACGGTAAAACTATCCAGTACGCTGCGCGGGGTTGCGCGAGGTATCGGCTGAAACTATCACCGTGTAATCGATTGCACTTGTGCGGAATTTTTTATCGGTATTTCCTTTTTCATCACGCCAATCTCACGTGCTGGATACGTCGGTCTCGGATGTTCCAACGTTGCAATAAATATCTCCGGCTTCAAACGCGCGCTCGAACGCTTTGAATAATTAAAACTAAAAGCGAACGAAATTATGAAACGATGTCTGGCGCAACTATCGTCGAGTAACGGCGACGATCGCTCCTTGAAAATAAGCGCTGCTTCGATCGAAATTCTCGGAAATAGCGATATTGAAGAAACGAAGAGTTGTCTCTACGGTCGTGCGACTCCTCGTGTCTCTATCTGTCGTACTTGGCCGTGTAGATAATTGAATGAACCGATAAGGGGCGCTTTGAGGTATCTGTTGCATACATTCATGTTACAGAAATGCCAACAGCAGAGACTCCAACGATATACTCGCCGAAAATTGAGCGCAATAACGCAAAGGCTTGGCTGCAACCTAATGACGCCATAACGATCGTAGTCAGCCAGTCCTCCCCGTCGAGCGATGAAGGGCAGGTCCATTATTCTTGAATGAACATATTCGACCAAGGGCGAAAAATTGTTGATAGTCCGAATGTATATGAGTGCCGTGCTCATCCGCGAAAGATGCGCACGTACGTGTGTGTGTGTGTGTGTGTGTGTGTGTTGTTATCGATGTAAATACATAGATAGATTTTGTATAAAAAAAAGAATTCTTGCAAGCTTCGTTGATTTATTCACCCTTCTCAGAATCCTATCTATTTGTCTTTATTGTAACGTAATAAGGATCATTTGCGCTAAACTGAGCGTGAAGAACTTCCTCTGATTTCGGCCTTCGACCGCGAACAAATCTCTGTGGGATCTAGGGTCGCGAGGACGATTCGCATCAGCTGCCTGAAGCACTCGCAGGCCGATAAACTAAGACGTTAAACGGAGAAGTTTCTATCGGAACGGAGGGAACACTCGAAGGTAAGGGAGAATGCTATCGAAATGAGTCAAACACATACCGGCGCCAAATTATAACTCGATCGCCGCCCACGTCGTCGTGCTCGCGTCGCCAACACCATCAGCGATTAATTCTCAACTTATCTTAGTATCGTTATCCTGCAAGATTAACGCTAGATATATAAACTTAACATCGAGATCCAACGGCGCTTTCTACGATCGCGCCTGAGCCATCGTCGTGAATACCCTTTGCCGAAAGCAATTTAACGTGTCTCAACCCTTCTCAGCTGTCAACCTGCTTCTTCTGGACGTTCAACTCCTCCTGTATCTGCTCCAGCGTTTTACCTTTGGTTTCAGGTACGTAAGCAAATATGAAGACGAAGCCTAAGAGATTGAGAATGGTGAAGAACCAGAAAACCACGTGTGTTCCGACACTGTTGGACATGGTCGGATACCATTTGATCGCGATAAAAGCGTTGAGATTGCAAATAGATACGAATATCAGGCCAGCGAGAGCCTTGACGTTCGTGGGGAAGAGCTCGCCGAATAGAGTGAACGGAAGCGAGCTAAAGCCCACGGAGTATAAGATCATGAACAAGATTGTACCGGTGGCTGGAAACCACTCCAAATTGTCGACATTCGCGTGAATAGATAGAAGATAAAAATACGCTCCGACCATCGCGGTCGAGCAGCCCATTCCGAGCGAAGAGATCATCAGCAGTATTCGCCTGCCGCAATAATCAATTAGAATCATACACACGCACATGGATATCACTTGCACGCAACCTAGTATGATAGTTAAATATTTTCCTTCCAGATTTGTGTGCGTCTGATTAAAGAGAGTTTCGCTGTATTGTAGGAAGACCGGGGCGCCGCTGAATTGTTGTATAATAGACACACCTATCACGGTCAGCATGGCCCTGCAACGTGAAATATGTTGTAATAATATTATTTTTTATCAAAAAATATGGTTTACTCTAGTAAAATAACAATATTTTCAAACAAACAAAATGATATTTGATATTAAATATGTTGTGATAAAAAAATGTTATTTTCCTTTCGAAGATCGTTCCAATCTTCAACCATATAATTTCCATGGAAGTATTCTCATTTGCAAAATGTTTAAGTTCAAAATCGAAAGCTTTTAATAATTCATTCGAATTCATGAATGATCGTTGATGATGAGAGATCGAATTTGATGTCTCACCTGCGATTACCCGGGACAAATAAAATTTCTTTGAATCCAGTCTCGTTCGCCAGATCGATTTTCACGACTTGCTCGATAATGTCCGCCTCTTTGCTGACATTTTCATTGCCTCTGAGTTGGACAAGAGCTTTTACGGCCTTCTGCCTGTCATTACGACGCATCAGATAGTACGGAGATTCCGGCATGAACCGAATGAAAGTGATCACGTATAAAACAGGTATCGTCATGCACACGAAAGAAAAGTTTCTTATAGAGAGAAACGGGCCTATCACATATGCGAACAGAGTGCCGCATTTCATAGATACTACACAGATCATTCCCAAAATACCGCGGATTTTCGCCGGCGAGATCTCGCCCAAATATACCGGCGTTATTAGATATATGATACCAAAGGATACTCCGCATATGAATCTCGCTATGTACAATTCCTAGAAAATAGAGAAGCAATAGAAGAATGAAAAGTTTAAACGTCGAATTAACTCTTATCAGGTCGAATCTATTAATCGAGCTCGAAAAAGCACGCTGTCTCCTCTTACGTCGGAGGATATTACGTCAAATCGGAATAATTATAGAAATATGTGTCTTCGCGGACGAGTTCTCGAAAATGAGAAAATCAATCTAGAAAATTGGAAAACCGAGAGCATCTTTTCGCGCTTTTTTAAACCGGTATGATTTCCGACGATTGTATTCAACAATATTGAATTTATTTTAAAACGAGCAGAGCTATATCACTATTGAAGTGCTTAAAAGCAATTATCACACTATCGCACTATTTGTTTTGATCAAATTACGAAGTGCTTAAGAGCAATTATCACTGTTGAACAAATTGATTTTCATGAGGACAGAGCATGTTCCATTTATTTAAGTGTTCGAATTAGCAACATCGCTATCAACATTGGTATATCTATATACAACACATGTTGATAAGTAATATACGTCCGATAAAGTAAATTAAAACTCACACATTGCTATATGAAGTTGTATCATAAATTAAAATTTGCAATGTACGAAGACACTTCTAATCGCTTTTTTTCTTTTTCCTTCTCCTTCCAAAAGTATTTCTTCATATTTTCAATGTAAATTATGAAAATTATATTATGTAAAAATTCCTATATTTCATTGAGTGTGAACTAAATGATGTTACATTAGAAGTATGTGACACATTAATCCATTATAAAAAAAAAATTACATTTTTCAAAGATGCAACATACTTTTATCTATTTGCTCGCTCAATTGAAATAAGAATCATCGGCGAAATAGTACGCATATCAAAATCTCGTTTCCTTTAATCATTGATCCGAGAATGTTTTTCGCAATTCACAAGCTATGTAACATATTACACGAAATATCCGAATATAACAGTTATATAATTACCCATGGCGAAGTTGCGAAGGCTATCATTAGCCAACCAATTGTTGTTGGCACAGTTGTAGTTATCATGCTGTTTTTTCTACCAATGAAGTTCATGATGAACATACCGACAAAGGCACCAAAGAACGAACCAATAATAAGTGTAGACGCTACCCAAGAAGCTTCCTCCACGCTCAGATGCGGAAGTTCATCGCCATCGGCAATTAATCTTGGCAGGCTAGGCGATGCCCAGCCAAAAAAAAGACCGGCACTAATCGGCCCTATCGAGCCTGGTAAAATAGTACATTTTGAAGCGAATTGACAACATTATCCTAGCGGATAGAAGGAAATAATGTTTTAAACAAAATAGATGTTTCCGAAAGATTATATCTGGTGGTACAATACGGGAAAAAGTGAAATTTTTATAAAGATAGTGAACACTTTTAAACAAATAAGTCCTGTTGCACTTATTTCAATAGGATTGTTGGTAAATTTTCTCATTTTATTTCTACATTGTAATTATTTTCTGATGTATACATACCTACTATAGCCACGAAGTATATTTTGCTCATCTTTTCGATGAATCCGTTTGCGTTTGCAAGATGCAACTGAACTGTACAATTGTATAATGGAAATTCATTTATAGGCCACCACTTGATTGATAATCCTATGACTAGATAATATTGCGATAAGATTACATCGGAAAGAACATTGTTACTTTTTCGGAAATGTTGTAACTTTTTCCTTATTATCGACAGGAAAATATAAGTTAAATACACGCCATGTTATTGTCTTAAATAAAATCTTGGATTGATCCAAATAATAATTTATCTTTATTGTCAACGCGAATTCTCAGATGTCCGTATTTTCGCTCCGATTAACCATTCTTCAAATTGCAACTTGATACTAAACTGACATGTGAACTGACATACATTCTGAAGCGAAGTTTCTGATAACGCGGCATAAAAAATTCTAATTGACAACATGAAAGCTTTGATAGTTAGATATCAAGCATATTAGTCGCTGTTATCGTCAACAATAGTATTTAATGATTTACTTTGAACTCGAAGGTGCTTCATCCGCGATAACGTTGGTAATCAGCGTGTTTGGTAATTAGCGTGTTTTCCTAGATGAAGTTGTCGTCTCCGTTTTCCTCTAGAGTCTAACTGACCTTGAAATAAAATGGTTAAGAAAAAAGTTATAAAATTGCCAAAAAAGTAACTATGTTCTTTGCGATATAATTTTAGCGCGCTATAGATTACCCCAGGCTATCAAGAAATTGCCAAAAGTTTTCTTCCCAATATCTAAGCCTTTTTCAAAAGCAAGTTTAATTTGAGCAATTATCCGTTAATCATTCCGTATATCTGTCTTATTTGTACGACTTGTATCAAATTACTTAATTGCTCATGCGCAATTAGCTTGACGCAGGACTTTGGCTTAAATATAATCCCACTATCTCACACTGCATCAACATCATCACTTTCCTTGTGCTTACGCTGTGGTAAATTTCAAACTGTTACAATACAGATTATGTCACGCAAGATAATTATAGCGGCAGCAATGACGTAAGCAGGTCACCTGGAATCAAATTAAGTTTATAGTTAAAATAAAATGTCTTCTCTCAACATTGATTATTAAATATTTCAAATTATTTATGTGAAAAGATATTCGTAATTAAAATTTCTCAATTATTAAATAGTCCGTTTATTATTATTCGGTAACCAGTAAATAATTTTACTTTTACTGTTTATAAACCTATTGTACTGTCAGATATATATATTTACCACAGTATAAGCTACGTGTCCGGTATTTTTACAGATGTCACGTGTCTTGAAAAAAAACAATATGCCAGAAAATATACCACCTCGTTGCACGTTAGAAAAAGAAAAAAATTAAAATGATATCATATATGTTTCAAATTAAAAGTTAACGTTTATAAAAGATATCTTCTTGTAATTAATACTTGTTATTAATATTCTTTTTGTAATTTTATAAATGTTAATTAGGAGGAAGAAAAATGTACTTTTGAAAAAATTTTTACTCGTGAAATTTCTAAATCACTGAAGCCAAACATTTTGATGTTTCCTATGAGGACGATGAAAAAATTAATTAAATTAATTTTAGAGATTGTGTATTAATTTATACGAATGATAGTTGACAATGAGAAATCGATGTTCGAGTCGTCTCACCTGTAATTACCCGGCACGAGAAAAATCTCGCTGAGCCCAGTTTTATTACCCAGCACGATTTTCACGACTTGCTCATATTATTCGTCATTGCTGACGTCCTTTTTACTTTTAAGTCGAATAAGTCGAATAAAGGATTCTACGACCTTTTGTATGTCACCATATCACATCAGATGATATGAAGATTCCGGTGCCCAGATGAAAGTGGCCAGGGATAATACCGCTAAGGAGCCAAGGGCGAGATCTCTCATTGAGAGAAACGAGCCTATCGTCAACTTCAACAAAATAGCCAGTTTATAAAACATCGTCACTATAGATCATAAAAATCACAAATATTTGTCGGCGAGATTTCGTCCAAATATACATTGGTATAACAATATAAGCTATGCCATAATTCACTTCACATACGAACCTCGATACGTTTTTGAAAGCAAAAAATTGGACGAAAAGATATAAAGTTTATATGTCAAATCAACTTTTATTCCGTCAAACTTATTTATCTAACTCGAGAAAAACTATTTCCCCTACATACAAATATTAGATTGAATATTATATTAAATTATATTAGATTTTCTATGCACATAAATAAATGACACACAGCTATATTAACTCATCGGGAAATTATTAGGATAGAGATCGCATAAAGAAAAAAGAAAGGTTACTGGAGTGTAGGGACAAGTGATTGTCAGCTATTGTATGATTGTTTTAATAGCAAATTTATTATAGATTATACGAAGATTGATATAATCTTTCAGCGAGTGACATTTCAAATGGTATTAAACGTTGTATTTATTACTAGTCGACATTGACAATGAAGGGATCGTTTTAAAATCAATTAGTTCAATATCATTAGTTCTAACTGCTCAGATATTATTTAACAT